AGAACAGAGAGCTGGAGAATTGCACAAGGTTTTTGATGCTTTTGTTTGATACATGATATTTCCATCCACAGCACATCCAGAACTAGTCCCATGACCCCACCTAATCTCAAGAGGACAAAGAAATGTGGGGAAACAGATAGAATTTTGGGTGAGCACCACACTCTCTTCCAGTCATCCATTCAACAAATATTTATTGAGTGCTTACTATGTGCCAAGTACTCTTCTAGGCCTTGGAAATACAAAAAAAAGTTTTTTTTAGGACAATCCCTGTTCTCATGTAGTTTATATTCCATATTTTGGTTAATATTCCTAGTTATATTTTATATATGCTGTAAGAGCAACTGCTTGTCTTATCATATAATCTCCATATAACCTAACAAAATACAACATATATAATCATAGTTCAATAAGTAAGTGTAGGGGCTGGCCCCATGGCCTAGTGGTTAAGTTCAGCACGCTCTGCTTCAGCAGCCTGGGCTCAGATCCTGGGCCAGACCTACACCACTTGTTGGCAGGGATGCTGTGGTGGTGACCCACATACAAAATAGAGGAAGATGGGCATAGGTGTTAGCTCAGGGCCAATCTTCCTCAAGCAAAAAGAGGAAGATTGGCAACAGATATTAGCTCAGAGCAAATCTTCCTCAGCAAATAGATAAATAAATTTTAAGTATAAACAAATATAACTGTTTAATGTCTTCCTGTGCAGGAGCCCAAGCTCTACAATTCCATACAAAGAACACTCATAACCTATAAATTCTTTAAGTTTGCTGTAGTTCTGTAATATAAAATCAGTCCCCTACTTGATGTCTATGCAGACAAGCTTTGAGCCCTTCAAAAATTTTGTTAAGCTTTAAGGGATTTAGTTCTAGAGTAAAAACTTTTGATGGCCAGCCCCATGGCCAAGTGGTTCTAGTTCTGTGGGCTCTGCTTCAGCAGCCCGGGTTCACATGGTCAGATCCTGGGTATGGACCTGCTCCACTCATCAGCCATGCTGCAGAGGCGTCCCACATGCAGAATAGAGGAGGATCAGCATGGGTGTTGGCTCGGAGCTAATCTTCCTCAAGCAAAAAAAAAAAGAGGAAGATTGACAACGGATGTTAGCTCAGGACGAATCTTCCTCGCCAAAAAAAACCTTTTGCTCATGTTCCATCCATAAGGATTATAAACTCCTCAAGAATAGGAACTCTTTCTGTTTGGAATAATGTAAACTCCATAGTTTTAATACAGTATTATGGAGGTAAACCTAGGCAGTCCAGAGTCCTGATTGATTAAAGTAAGCATTCCTTCATTGAATATTTATTAAGCTTCTGTTATGTGCCAGGCAGTGTCTACAAAGATGGATGAGAAGTTTATATGCACAAGAAATCCACAATTTCCTGTGTAGGTAAACTGGGGCTTATGCTGGACTCAAAATGAGACTTTGTGTTTATTTTCTCTACTTAAATGTATTCATGTGAATTGTCCCCTCATGACGAATGGCAGGGAAAAAATATTGAAAACAACGGCTCTTGTTCAACCCCTTTTGAACACATGAATCTTCCCTAGAGCATACCTTAAAGAATATAGCCACCTGATCTCTTCAGGAATATTACTTCCAAAGTCAGTCTATTTCATTTTCAGGTAATTTTAATTATTAGAAAGCTCTTCTTTATATTTATCTAAAATCAAAACTTCCTTTTCTGGAACCATATTTAGTAATTCACATCATTCTTTCCCATAATAACCCTTAAAATATTCTATGGTAGTTAGCAGGTTATCCCTAATTGTGTCATCTCCAATCCCTTTTAAATATAGTTTCAAGCTATCCCACCATTTGACCACTTTCCTTTTAAAGTCTTCCAGTTTGTCAGTGCATCTTAAAGTGTGGTACACCAAACTGTGCACAAGGATGGTTGGAACAATGTAGAGTTTGTTGACTACAGTAGAATTATTTGAGGTCATAGGTTTATTAAAGAAGTAATTCTTCCTGGAGTGGGCATATTGTAATTATAATTTGAAAGTACAAGTAAGATCTGAAAGAAAGAAAAAACATGAGAAACATTTAAATAAATGCTTAGAAATGGAGCAAAATAAAGATGGGAGTATTTGCCTAGAACAAACAGTGAGTGAGACTAGGGAATGTATTAAAATTCTTGGAATTAGGTGCAGTAGGTTAAGGTGACTGGGTGCATTGCAGTTCTCAGGTAAGTATGGTTTTCAATCTAATGGGTATTTCAAAGAAGAATTTTTAGTGGAATTCTGTGCGTTAGCAGAAGGAAGAAACATTAGCAGGGAAATGTTCAGTTTTGGTAGGACCACTAAGAAGAGATTGCTATTAGCCACAAAAAGATTTTTGCATTGAGCTGAAGAGGGTGTAGGTAAGGAGAAGTCATATAAGCAAGAAGATACAGGATTCTGCAGGAGGAGTTTTGGTGAAGTATGAAGCAGAAAAATTCACCCTTACTTTGTGGGGGAGAATAAGGTTCTTGACAAAATGATGAAGTAATAATACAAATAGGTAACACATATAGGACCTAACTGTGTGCAGGATGTTATTCTAAGTGTTTCCCATATATTAACACGTTTAATCTTCACAACAGCTCTATGAGTTAGGTACTTTGTTTCCCCATTTTATGGATGAGAAAATTCACCCACAGAGAAGCAAAGTAACTTGCTGAATGTCACATAGCTAGTAAGATGACAAAAATGAGATCTTAATCCAGGTAGTCTGGCTCCAAAATCTGCCCTCTTTATCACCATATTATGTCTCAGTATACTATACTATGATGTTTGATTTCAACTTACCTTCTTTCACACTTCATAAATAACTTATCTGTGCCCCTCTTTTATATGGTGCCACCATTCCTATTCCCCTTCAGGAGCCAGTGCCTTCTTGACCTTTTCTTTTCCCTACTATTAAAAACTACTCTCTGGAGAAAGACAAACACTGTGTGATCTCACTCATATGTGGAATATAAACCAACACATGGACAGAGAAAACTGGACTGTGGTTACCAGGGCAGTGGGGGTGGGGGGTGGGCACAAGGGGTGAAGGGAGTCATATATGTGGTGATGGACAAACAAAAATGTACAACCCAAAATTTCACAATGTTAGAAACCATTAAAACATCAATAAAAAAAAAAAAACTACTCTCTGGAAAGAAGCTAATAAGCTCATTCATTCATTCACACCAAAGAATAAATGACTGATATGGTTTAATATAAAATAATACTATTCCAGGGTTGAGTTTTTTAGGAGCCCAGGGAATGTTAAGTGACCATAAAACTTTAATTCAAAACCTTGTTGAAATTTAAAGCATATATGGGCATGGGAGGATGAGTAAGTCAGGTGGATGCCTTCTGTGCCCTTCAAATTATACCACTATTTAGCCGGCCCAGAGCTTGTGGAAATCCTTCTAGTAGAAATGAGGTAGGATCATAAAAGTGGGAATGGAAAGAGTAAGAGATACATCTTTATTATGTTGATTCAATAATTTTAGAAATACTCTATTATTTCCCTAATTCATTATCAAGTGGGAGAATTCTGATATAACCCCAAGAGACATAGACCCCAGGAGAAAGCCTTTAACTTGGATGATCATAAATGAAAAGAGATAATCCCACTCGAGGGTTTAAGTGTTCATGCGTTTACATCTGAATCGAGATATAGCCAAGGATTGGTTTTGTTCCTTTATTTCCTGCAGATATAAAACCCTCTCAGATGGGTCTATGATTTATCTACTCTAGGAATCTTACAATCTGTGAATGTTACCCTAGGGTTATCCTCGATACCTCGCTTTTTCTTATTATTCCACATCAGTCAATCATCAAGCTGTTTCATTTCTTTCTTTACAAGTTTTCTCATATATTTCAATCTAGTTCAGTTCAGTAAACGTTTGTTGAGTACCTGCTGTATGCCAGATACTCAGTAAGTGCTCTGAGCATACAAGTACCCCATCTCAAATTTCACATTTTCTAGGAGAGAATATAGCGTGGTATAAGCAATTATAGAAATGTATTTAAATACAGAAGAAGTGTACAAGAGAAAATTATTCTGCCAGGGAAGGTCAGAAAGATTTGCAAAGGAGGTGATGCTTGAATGGAGTTTTCAAGGATGAATAGGAGTTCTTCAGAATAATGACAGAGGAGCACCATATTCCAGCTAGAGGGCACAAAGACATACACAAAGACATAGAAGCATCACACCGTGTGGCCTGACAGTTACAAGTAGTACTGCTATAGAACAGATGAAGTTTGAGTCCTGGGGTGGTGGAAAATGATCTGTTGTTGTTTTTTTTCATTGTCAGGATTTTCATATGCCTAGAGCAACAATTTGTTTATTTCTGTGTCTGTGATCATTGAAGTCCTAGTCTTTTTTCAGTACTCTGCTAAAGTCTTACCTATGTGCCACTCCTTGAGACTTGAGCCACTGTTTCTCGGCACCTAAGTATTTGTGTAAAGTGTGTGTCCTCAATCCTCAATCTTCTGTGGTAGAAAGTGGTCTCTTAGTGTGGAAAAGGAGGAGTGACAACTTTCACTTGTATCCACATGGTCATAGAGGTTTCATAATCAGCTTTGCATATAATAATTTTGAAAATGTTTTGGAGTTAAGGGACTAATATGAAAATAGTGTTAGTACTTTGTTAGTCACAATAATATAATTTTCTGTACCAAATAATTCAATTCAGTTCAGCAGGAGCGTTTTTCTGCTCTCTGTCCATGCCCTAGCACAATATTGAGAAAATACATAATGGAAGAAAACAGGAAGAGGAAACCTCCCTTCCATATCTGAGAGAAAAGCTATTTCTCAAATTTATACTTGCAATTTCTGGCTTTAATCAGCTCTCTAAGAGAGAAAAATCCTAGAGAAGTGTTTATTCAGTTTCTTCTGTTCATCATAAAATTTGAAAACGTGAGCATAAAGGAAGACTGCTTGCTAGATGAATCTGCTGCTTTAAAATGAAGTTATGTGAAAATAAAGCAAACTGACTTTTCTGTTAATTTATAACTTCTTTTTTAAGGATGCTGGGCAGTTTTATGCTAAATATAAAGAAGCAAGATTGAAGGAAAAGGAAGATGCATCGACTAGAGCTGAACTTGAAGCACTTCAAAGTGAGTTTAAACATTGTCTTACTGTGTTAATATCATATGAAAGTGATTATGTGCATTTGGGTTTTCCCTTAAATTCAGCAGTAATTAAATTTTCTGTGCTTTCTTTGCCACTCTCTAAATAGAGTTACTTGTACGTAAGGCATTGTATGTGGAAAATACTATATTAGTAATTACTGAACCACCTACAGTTCCGTATCAGAAGAAGGGATAAAATCAACATGGGCTCCTATAGTTACTCAAGTCTAGGAGGCATCGAAAATCTAGAAAGTCCTAAAATATCCCACTGCTATAATTGTCATTGATGTTTAGTGCAAAGTCTATCCTATTGATTACCCAACTTACTGTATTACAATAGTAAATGGGAAACCTAAAAATACCAATGGTTTTTGTTTTGAAAGTCTTTGTTTCATTTGTATTGTTCTATAATATGAAAAACCTTGACTAAATTATCAGTATGTTGAAGTCTTCCATTGAACACTAAAGACAGTTCTCACTGATTTTAGGAAAAGTTGAACATACTATTAAAGAAGGCATTTTCCCAGTCCTGCTCTTTTTGTCTAATTTTCTATATCTATATCTTTCCCACGCATATACACTCTGTCCTTTTCCATTGTTTTATTTTTATTCAGAGCATTTAACACTACTTAACATTAATTTATTTATTAATTTTGTTTGCTCTCTGGTTCCCCCAATAGAATGTAAGCTGCATGAGGGTAGGGATTTTATCTGTTTTGTTCACTGTTATGTCTATCCAAGTACTTCAAAGAGTCCCTGTCACGTAGTAGGTGCTTGATAAATACTTGTTGACTGAATTCATGGAGGTGAAATCTCTATTCTTTTAAAAATTCCACTGTCAGGGGCCGGCCCGGTGGCGCAAGCAGTTAACTGTGCACGCTCCGCTGCGGTAGCCTGGGGTTCACCAGTTCGGATCCCAGGTGCACACTGATGCACTGCTTGGCAAGCCATGCTGTGGCGGTGTCCCATATAAAGTGGAGGAAGATGGGCACGAATGTTAGCCCAGGGCCAGTCTTCCTCAGCAAAAAAAAAGAGGAGGATTGGCAGATGATAGCACAGGGCTGATCTCCTCACAAAAAAAAAAAAAAAAAAGGGCCGGCCCCGTGGCTTAGCGGTTGAGTGCGCGCGCTCCGCTGCTGGTGGCCCGGGTTCGGATCCCAGGCGCACACCGACACACTGCTTCTCCAGCCATCCTGAGGCCGCGTCCCACATACAGCAACTAGAAGGATGTGCAGCTATGACATAGAACTATCTACTGGGGCTTTGGGGGAAAAAATAAATTAATTAATTAATTTAAAAAAAATAAATGTTTAAAAAAAAAAAAAATTCCACTGTGAATATTTTGGGTTCAGACTTCATTTCCCTCCACCTACCCGGATTCCCAGAGAAGTGCATGGTACCAGTCTGGGCACAGGAGACAATACAAAGATAATTGATCCCTGGTCACTTCATGCCTATCAATGTATACACAGGCACCACATGCATAGTTTTACAAAACACCTTGTGTGCTTTTGAGGGTATGCACATGAGAAAAATGGTGAGATCTGTTTCCCTTCAGATACTGAAATTCCTAGCTTTCTGCCTTTACCCTGACACCAGACCGTGGTTTGAGAAGAGAGAAGTATGTTCTCTCCAAACCCAAAGAGTACATTGCCACTACCTAAATGTGTGACTTTGAAGATTTTAATTTCCTTATCTGTCAATAAACATGTTGGACAAAGTGATCCCAGTATTAGTTTCCTATTGCTGCTCTAACAAATGGCTGCAAGTTTAGTGGCTTACCCACAAATTTATTATCTTACAGTTCTGTGGGTCAGAAGTCTGACAAGGGTGTCACTGGGCTAAAGTCAAGGTGTATCAGGCAGGGCTGCATTCCTTTTCCAGCTTGTAGAGGCCTCCCACCTTCCTCAGATCATGGCCCCCTTCCTCCGGCTTCAAAGCCAGCAGTGTTTCATGCCTCTGACTGTCCTTCAGTAGTCACATCTCTGACCAAAACTGGGAAAGGTTCTCTGCTTTTAAGGACCCATCTGAGTAGATTGGGCCAATTTGAATAATTCAGGATAATCTCCTCTCTCAAGGTGCTCAACCTTAATCACATCTGCAAAGTTCCATTTGCCATGTAAGGTAAAATATCCCCAGGTTCCAGGGAATTGAACATGGTCGTGTTTAGGGGGCCATTTTTTGCCTACCACAGTCCTTCGGGTGTTTGGGCAACTGTAGAACAGGGACTGTTTCTTTTTCATCTTTGTGTCTGCAGCATTGAATACAGTGTCCTGGCACCTAGTAAATGTTTATTAAGTAGATGAATGAATGAATATATGAATTAATATAATGCTATGAATATTAATGAGTGTCATTAAGAACACCTACACTGTATAGAACATTGTTTCAAGGAACACGTAATTTAATTCAAAAAGTTTTGACAATTACAAATACCAAATAATATTCAAATCAACCAGATAATTATTTAAAGCAGACTTCTGTTAAGAGGGAAGAGTTTAGGATGATCAAGGATTACATATTCAGGTTGACTGATGCGTGTGTGGGGAGTAAGGGTGGGCAAATGATTATTATTGTTAAATTAAACCTAAGATTGAACTAGAAGCTGATGTTATGGGAATTGTTGAAATGGTTTTAATTAAATTGAATAAGTCAATGAATAAATGAAACTCTAAATATAATTTTTATGTAATTGTTATTTTTAAGTAAAATTGTTACATAAAACTTTCTAAGCCTTTTAAGAATAGTCAAAAGGAGGGGGAAAAATCACATTTACAAGAAAAGAGAAAAATATCAAACTCACTCAAAATTTGCCTGTAGAGTCAGTGTGAATACACCAATTTCATTGCTTTCATAGACTTACCTTTTTTTCTTCTTGAGATACAATGGACATATATAACATTATACTGATTTCAGATGTATAACAAAATGATTCAGCGTATGTATATATTGCTAACTGATCACCACAATAAGTCTAGTTAACATCCATCACCACACATAGTTACAAATTTTGTTTCATGTGATGAGAACTTTTAAGATTTACTCTCTGAGCAGCTCTCAAATATACAATACAGTATTATTAACTATAGTCGCCATGCTGTACATTACATCCTGAGGATTTATTTTACCACACACAACTTATTTTTATGTAGTCTTTGTAACAAACTACTTGTTACAGTTAACACACAACTTATGTGTGTGTTTGTAACAAACCACTTAATTGTTACAATTAACACACTACTTATTTTTTATGTCTTTGTAACAAACCACTTAATTGTTACAATTTTGGCATATATGTTTATTGCAGTAACATTGGTTTATGACATTGTAAAAATTTCAGGTGTACATCATTGTACTTCTATTTCTGCACAGATCACATCATGTTCACCACCAAAACACTAATTACAACCCATCACCACACACATGTACCGAATTATCCCTTTCACCCTCCTCCC